AGTGTCTTAAGAACGTTTTTACAGAATTTTATTATGTTGGGAAATACAAAAGTTATGGGCAGTTTTTCAAATGGTAAAAAATACAAAAAGGCTCCGTATCTCGGTTGGCAATGAAAATATGAACAGGCGGTTTAGGACATTAAACGTTTCTCAGAAATCGAGCCCATGACATCCATGTCGGTTTTGCTCTATCTAGTCAGGAAATAGGTTTTCTCTGTTAAAACAGACCAATTTCGACCACCCTGTACAGTAAAATTTAATCGAAATAATTACTCTCTATTGATGCGCATTTTAACGTTAAAATCTCTAAATGCTCTAAACTGCTTATTCGAAAAGTCTTCATCAGATGCGGTTTATAAAACTAAAACGGTGTTTTTGTTCGACTGTTTTAATTACTTTTGAAACTGGCATTTCGCTAAAGTTTCCCAAGTTTCGTGGAAAAAGGTGAGCTGAGCTTACTACGACAAAACTATTTTCTATGTAAATATGTAATTTTACGTGAGCAGGTTTTTAAGAAGTACATATTTTAATTTGTGCCACGCAACGCTATTATCTTGCCAAAATTATTTTTGTACCATAGACGTTTTTAGTTAAAGTAATACCATTCTAGAATGTTTTTCTAACATGAACCAGTAAGGCCTTTTTATATTTGTTTTTGTTATCCAATTACATAAATATTTGCTAGATATCTAGTGTCCACATCCAGGTTACATTTAGATACAGCTACTTGTATACCTGCAGTACGCTCATTATCGGGCTTTTTTAGCAAATTAAGACCACCTTTCACTAACTAATTATCGCAGGGCAATACATTTTATAAGTTGAATAAAAGAGAATAAAAATTTTTGGTTTATATTTAGTTGAAAAAATGTTTGAGATGGCAAGTTTTGTGCGTCGATCTTTCAAATTCAGGAGATAAGTTGTATTATATTTATATTTATTTTATATTTTTTGGCGATTTATTGTTAAGTATCTGCATACAGTCCTGCAATAGTGCGTTGGACATCTGTGGCTCCTAGAATAAAAAAATTGTGAATTTTGTTTAAGTGCAAACTTAAAGTGTGTAGATATAAGATGATCTAAGATATATTACAGAAAAATATTTTAACTTTTATAGGTTAGCACAACAAGTGTGAGTGGATCAGGACGATTTTTTTAAAGGGAATTATACATATGTATATTACTGCATTTTTGACTTTCTTTTAGATCACTTTACATAATCTTAAGATATGAGTAAATATATTTCGATAGTTTTAGACATATTAATAAATAAATTAAAAAATATTAAAAATACAAGAACTATCCTGAAATCGCAACTATATTGAGTATTTACTTTAGAAGGTCTGTACTTATTTTGCTATAAATATGGTAATCGTAAATTGTACAGAATGCTCAAAATTCAACCACACACTTTCTAAAATATAAAATAATTTTTCTTTGTAATTTTAAATGGAGCACACTGTGGTTTTATATTTAATATGGCATTTTCCACAGTAAATTTTTATGCCACCCAATGATTTTTCTCTCGTATTTTACTATTGAAAGAGCCATATGAAATAATACTGCGTGTATCTGTGAAACCATTAAACATTTTGAAATACTTTAAATACTAAAAATGTTCATTTTTTAATTCTCCATCTAATAAAAAACTAATATACAGGGGATTCCATTTAAAAAAATGAAGAAAAATTATTTTATATTTTAGAATTAGGTAAAGTTAAAATATTTTCCTGAAATACATTGTCATACATACTTTAGGTTTGCATTTAAACAAAATTCCCAAGTTTTATATTCTAGGAGCTATTACAAATGCCCCACGTACTATTAATTGCCGAACTCTGTATTGAATGTAAAACTTATTATCATTTTTAATTAAAATTTTCTCATTTTTTATTTATTGTTTATGTTCATCTAACAAAAGACCTGTACATGTTAACATTTCGCTTGTTATTTTGAATTTTAATAGTACACAATCTGATATAATCAGCCACTGTTACCAATGTTAGAAATGGAAATATACGATTTGTCGATCGCCAATTACCAGTCCAAATTATCGAAAAATATATTGAAAAGAAATTAATTAAATATCAGTGTTTTTTTCGTATTCTAGTGACCTCAAAATAACTGTTTTCTTTGTTGGGTTAAATAAAACCCTGTGCTTTATTTTATTCAAATCCAGTAAAAAACATAATTAATTATATATTTTATTACAATACCGTTGACAGAATAAGAGATGCTAATCGCCGCAGGCTTAATTTATTTATAACAAATTACAGAAATTTTCCGCAATAAACCAAAACACATTATTTTTAACTAGAAACATGTTTGGTGTATTACCAGAAAAGAAGACTAAAACCCAATTTTTGGTTTTATTAGTTTTAATGGCTGTTTAGTATCTAAAACATTATAGTTTAGTCTTCTGCTTGTAGCAGATTTAGATAACGAAGAGGAACCTTAAAGGTTGGAACTTTTGATGTTGGAACAGCAAAATAAAACACTAATTCACAACAATACACCGAAAAAATCACCAAAATAAACGCTCAATTTGTAGACATTAGTTTAATTTTAATCATCTGCTGATGGCGCTAACATGATTAGCGAAACGTACGTCAGTTGTTAAAAGTAAATCGTTTTGTTGTATTTTGGTAAACTAGTGTTTTAATTTGCTGTTGCAGTCCAAATAGCCAAGTTATTTTACTTTGATAAAATTTAAAAAAATATATATTTTGTGGTTAAATTTTGACAACCACATAATATATCAGACCAAAAATAAAATAAATCTTTTTTAATAATGTAAAGGGATTAGATTTCCTATAAGAATAAAAAAACTGTGAATATAAGTTGTGAATAAAACTGTGAATGTATTGGTGTGAATAAAATAAGCTGTGAATAACACTGTGAACAACACGGTGCATTAAGTTAGTTAATAGTAGTGTTCTTATATCAGCTTTAGGCCCTTATTTATTACAAACAACAGTAATTTGTCAAATACACTAAAACGAGAAACCGTTTATTAGAAACCTTTGTTGTGTATGTGTATCATGTATACCTGATGATCCAAATATGGATAAGAAAACTTGTAAGTTGAGAATGGAGAAATTTTGAAAATTAAAATTATTATAATGTGTTATTATAGTGCTAATATATAGCTATTATAGTGTAGAAAATGTTATGTGGTAAGACCAAAGCTTTCAACCCGCATTGTATATATTTAATATATTATAAAATAGAAAACAAATTTCTTGCAGTATAGGTATATAGTAAAATTAAGTAAGGATTGTTGCCACTTAACTGCTTATATAGAAATTTAATTCTACGCTGTGTTTGTCATAATGTGAATCAACCTGCTCTCACTACCGGTTTCGGAGCCCTACTCCATCATCAGGTGAGCTTGAGCAGATCCACAAAATGATAACCGCGCAGAGTAGTTAATTCCGACTTGTCGGAAAGTATCGGTTAGATATTAAGTCCTGAACGGGAGATAGCGGCCTGCGTGCAATGGTAGTACTTTCGTACCACCGAGGCGCAACTATCTTAGTAAAAGTATGGTAAAAGGCTTTTTTTCAGGCAAGCCAAATTATAAAATAGAAAACAAATTTCTTGCAGCATAGGTATATAATAAAATTATATAAGGATTCTTGCCACTTAACTGCTGATATAGAAATTTAATTCTACGCTGTGTTTGTCATAATGTGAATTAACCTGCTGTCACTACCGGTTTCGGAGCCCTACTCCATCATCAAGTGAGCTTGAGCAGATCCACGACATGACAACCGCAGCGAAGAGTAGTTAATTCCGCCTTGTCGGAAAGTATCGGTTAGATATTAAGTCCCGAATGGGAGATAGCGGCCTGCGTGCAATGGTAGTACTTTCGTACCACCGAGGCGCAACTATCGATAGTAAAAGGATGGTAAAAGGCTTTTTCGATTCTTCGAAACCGGTAGTGAGAGCAGCTTGATCCACATTATGACAAACACAGCGTAGAATTAAATTTTTATTAGCAGTTAAGTGGCAAGAATCCTTATATAATTTTATTATATACCTATACTGCAAGAAATTTGTTTTCTATTTTATAATTTGGCTTCCTGAAAAAATCCATTTATATTACTTTACTTACTATTAAAGTAAAAAGCCATTTTACCATCCTTTTACTATCGATAGTTGCGCGTCGGTGGTACAAAAGTATTACCATTGCACGGAGGCCGCTATCTTCCGTTCGGGACTTAATATCTAACCGATAATTTCCGACAAGTGGGAATTAACTACTCTGCGCTGCGGTTGTCATTTTGTGGATCTGCCCAAGCTCACCTGATGATGGAGTAGGGCTCCGAAACCGGTATTGAGAACAGGTTGATCCATATTATGACAAACACAGCGAAGAATTAAATTTCTATATCAGCAGTTAAGTGGCAAGAATCCTTATATAATTTTATTTATAATAATAATAGCTCCCGTATATAGTGTTTAACGCCTTGGGAGTAGCAATGTACAGCTTGCCATTCTAGAGCCGTTCGGTATACAAAGAAGGTAATATGGCTAGCACTACGCTTCAACCGCCTATTATTATCTCAGGATTGTGAATCCCAAGTACTCATTTAAGGCTGAGTCGACCTAGGTACCCAAACAATTTTTTATTTTTTAATAAAAATAGTCGGCTGATGAAATGCCGGGTGTTTGATTCGAACCCACTACCTAGAGATTGGTAGACAAGAGCCTGTGTATAATTTTATTTAATATATTATATTTATACCTTTAAAGGCATAATATATAAAATCAAGAATAAATAAGGAAGAGGAGCCTCTGACCTAAAGAAATATCTTTACTAATATCAATAAAGTGTTTTACAAATAATATATAACTTCAAAAAATACATGTTGAATCTTTTTTAATATTGTAAAGCGCATGAGCCTCGTTATAAGCTTCCGAAAACTGTAATAAGGACTCGATCCAGTGCGACAAACGCTCAGTTCTCGAACGCTTTCCTTGCGCGTCGACGATTCCACGTGTTTCCAGATTTTATGAAACCACTCGGAGCGTACGTTTACGTTTGCGAGCCTAATCCGGATAAATATTACAGTGACTTTCTATTGCCATTTTGGGAAAATACATATAGATATTTTGTTCGGTCTGTTCTAAAATTTAGAGTGTAAGACCACTTTTTAGTTTGTGTTTGTGTCAAGTAAGTGTCCGGTTTTTGAGTTTATAAATAATTAATAATTTGTGTAATACTGATTGAACTGTAAAAAAGGTAACTTTATTTAATTCCTTCTGTAATGTAGATATTACATAAAACACAATTTGCTCTGGAATGAACAGCTATATCTATACATAAATAACTGTTGCTTTGTTACAGTGTTCTCCGTAATTTATTAATATACGGTACACACTTATTTATTTTCTTGAGAAATCTTAAGATAATCATACCAAGACAAATTTATTTACATCAGTAGCAGCTAATTAAGCGTTATAATGCATATATAATAAATTTAATTATTAAAAATTTGTGTTGACAACATAATATGTTTTCCACACACATATTTTTAAAGTTATTTTGATACATTTACCTTTTAGTAAAGGGCAGATTTAAATGGAGTTAAATTAATTCTAATGCTAAAGGTATAAAATTTATTTACTTTAGACCACTTTTGACTTCTGTGTTAATTTTAGATTGGAAAATAATGCTTGGTCTATATTGTTCTAACGTTGTTATCTTTAAAATCTCGGTATTGTATAAAAAAATGAGATAACGAAACTATAATAGTTTATGTATAATGTTATTGAGTATGGAATATACCTTCTGTACATTTAAAAAATATATTTAATGTTTTTTGTAAGTTAGGTAGTAAAGAGGGACTGTTATTTTTTGAAGACTTCTGTTTGAGTGGCGATAGTCTTTTAATGATTAACGATACTTATTAACGATTCTTAAGATCGATAGTCTTTTAACTTTTACAAAAAGTAGAATACTATATCAAAACAGTCAAAGAGTACTCTTTTATGTGCACTAAAGTTTGTTTTTTATGTGCACTAAAGTTTATTTTTGTGCTGTCTGGCAAAGCATACAACAAATACAGTTTTGGACTGATGTCCTATGTTTGTTCTAGTATGTTTAAAATATTATATCCGTTGACATTTGGATCTGTCATAATTTGAAGCAATGAATTTGGAGTGGTCAATTTCTTAAGAAAGTACGTGTCATTTTATGATAAAATTAAAAATATTTTTTACGAACTTTTCCTTGAAGTTTTTAGCAACTACGTAATAATTTTCAAAATAATAACATCTACATCATTATATGAAGAGTATTTTATAACTGCAAAAGGCATTTATTTCATTGTGATTTGTATTATTTGGAAGATAATAAGATACTTTTATTCTCAAACCGTTCTTAACACTATTGTACACACCCGTTATTGTGATTAAAAATAAACAAATATATATATTACAATACAAAACAAATTTTGTTTTTTTAGTAGTTATAGTTGTTGTCCTCAGTTTTGCATCGAGAAAACAGAAAATGCAAAAAATTATCTTTTTAATAAATCTCTATATCTTTGTCGCTGGTTCATTTCTTGAAGAATAGTGTGGGTGTATAGCAACTGAAAGAAAAATCTAAAAAAACAAAAAAAATATTTTTCGTTAAATGCCACTGCGTTAGAATCGAATGGGAACTAACTTGTCAGTGGATTTTTGCTTGTAAAGACAATTATTTAACCAAACAATTCTTAACGTTTTAGGGGGTATATCTCCTAAAGTCGTTAGATCCAAAAATAAGAAAAAATATATAAAGAATCAGTATTTAAAATGTCTAAATGTAAAGTTTTATAGTTGTATTTCTATTTAGACATTTTATAGACATAGATACGTTTGATCGAAAACAAATCTTATTATAATTACAAAATGAATACATATAGTTATGTATTTTCATTCAATTTAATTTTTACACACAACTATAAATTATCGTAACAAAGTCATAACTTATTTCTGAATAATAGAAACATTCCACTAATACTACTATTCTGATTTTTGTGGATATCGAAAACCTATTGGAAACAAAATATCCAAGTAAAATATATGGCTTTGCTTTTGTAATTATTGTAGACTATAATTTTAAAAAATGTCTATATCTATGTGGCGGATTCATCTTTCCAAAAAAATCCTATATGGGTATTTCGCCACTGCACTGCAAGAAACTCTACAAAATAAAATAGTTATTTTTTGTAAACACTTCTGCGCTAAAGCCAAACGGAAACTACTTGTCAGAAGTTATGTTTACAGTTATACAAATTTGCCTAACAAAGAAAAAAATGCTTAACGTTTCGGAAAGTTAATCTCTTTCTGTCGTCGAAAGCAAAATAATACTAATTAATAATAAACTTATAAATAATATATAATACTTTATAAACTTATTAATAACTATAATTTTATTGTACTACTTGCATAAAAACAGTATACAGGGTGGTCCGAAACTTTGGCGACATATTCTGCAGATGAAAATAAGTAAAAAAGTTCGTATAAATGTGTGTCCTAAAATGCTTAGTTTGAGAGATACAGAGTGCAGAAGTTTAATTTTTATTTCGATTTTTTCCAAATAATTTCTGAAATAACGTCAATATTTTGATGAAAATTGGCGTCTGTGAGTTTATTGACATGAGAAGTTTGATTTTGATGTCAGCTTCCTTGACTCCTATTTGTAGGGGGCGCCACCTCACATGTGTTTTAACAGTTTTGAAGAGTAATAACTTTTCTCGTCCGTAACCTGTATAAAACTACTAAGTGAAAAAATATACATTTCCCATTTCACAACCGTTCTCAGCATATCGTTCAAGATATTTGGAATGGAAATAGTTAATACATGTCGTTATTGATAAAAAATAAATATGTTGAGTAGATAGTTATTTGACTGAAATAATAAATTTGAGAACTTTTTATTTTTTTAAATTAATCATAAAATTTTCTTTAAAAAAATGATGATAAAACAGTTTCTGTTGGCACAAAAACATTTCAAATTTTTTTATCTTAGTCTGATAACTATTTAGTCAACATGTTTAATTAATGTCAACGATGACGGGTATTGATAATTCCGATTCCAAATATCTCGAGAACCATCACTCGTAGCGATTTTTACCAAGATATTTTTTTAAGTAAAAAACATCGTAAATTCATATTTTTTTACTCAGATGTTTTATATAGGTACGGACGAAAAAATATTACACTTCAAACCAGTTCAAAACATGTATGTGGTGCACTCTGCAAGTAGGAGTCATATTTTCAATGTCAAATTTCTCAAGTCCAAGCAAATCAAAACTCCCAGAAAGCAATTTTCATCCAAATATTGACGTTAGTTCAGAAATTATTTGGAAAAAATCGAAATAAAAATGAAACTTCTACACCCTGTACCTCCGAAACTAAGCATTTTAGAACAGACATTTGCCCGGTGCCCGGTGGCGTAGAGGTACAGGCTCTCGTCTACCAATCTCAAGGTGTGGGTTCGATTCCCACACCCGGCATTTCATCAGCCGACTATTTTTATTAAAATAAAAATAGTTTGGGTACCTAGGTCGACTCAGCCTTAAATGAGTACTTGGGATTTACAATTCTGAGGTAATAATAGGCGGTTGAAGCGTAGTGCTAGCCACATTACCTTCCTTGTATACCGAATGGCTCTAGTATAGCAAGCTGTACCTTGCTACTCCCAAGGCGTTAAACGCTATATACGGGAGCTATTATTATTATTAGAACATATATTTATACGAACTTTTTTACTTATTTTTATCTGCAGAATATGCTGCCGAAGTTTTCGGAATACGGACCGCCCTGTATATACAGGGTGTTCCTTAATTACATTAATTAATTAATAAGTGTTTGTATACTCAGTAGATTGATTAAAGTAGTCCCAAATAATAAGTAATATAGGTATAGTGAAAAAAATATTAATATTAAAAGATAACTTCTGAAGTGACTTTAGAAGTTAAAAATTAAGTCAGTCAGCAGGTTAAAAAACATATTGCATTTGATTTGGCGCTTTGTTTCTAAACTTTATTTTTTTTTTGTAAAATGTTTCGTAATTCGGCTTGAAGGACTCATAAATGTTTTATATTTAAATGGGTTGTCAATTCATTCGGGCAGTTTTAGATGTTTTAATTAGTTTAAAAAAATATTCAGTAATATTTAAATTTAAAGTAAAATAATAATTAACAAATAAAAAAATAATTTATTTTCTCCTCACTCCTGTTTATTGCTCGAGGCACAACCGCATTTGCAACCCAGCGGGCGAACATTTTATTATATACAAAAAATTAAGCGCAAAAATAAATTTGTAAAATTAATATTTATTGTTCATTAAAATGTTGTATCCTATGTTATAGGGCTTGTTTCTCTCTACAATTTCCTGTTTCACAATGTATCGTTTGTGTTCGGGAAGGGTTCATAGTTTCATAGTTGTCGATTTTCGAAAGAAATCAGTACATGTATATTATTTCGTATATCTTTCATTTTATTGATTTTATGGAAAGCACTGTTTTCATTAAAATGTTGTATCCTATGTTATAGGGCTTGTTTCTCTCTACAATTTCCGGTTTCACAATGTACCGTTTGTGTCGGGGAAGGGATCATAGTTTCATAGTTGTCGATTTTCGAAATAAATTAATAAAATACCGAATACTAATAAAAATAATAAAGTTTATTTTATATATTACCTTTATATAGGACATTTATTAAAATATATAACACAATATCATATTCAAAAATATCTTATTTGAAATGCAAGCACTCATAGACAAGTAAGTTAGTTTAAATTTCTTTCGCTTGAATTTTCTCTCGTATACATATATTTTTTCCCCCGACTGGTACATTTTATATAATGTATGCCTATTTTGCATGTAGAATTTTCTGAGTTGTCGCTTGTCAAGGCAAATGCATAAGATTTGTGTACCTGGTTTAACTCATTTGTAAACGTCTTGCGGGAAATATACGTGGGTTATTAATATTTTTGCAGGAATGAAAAATCGGATAAACAAATCGCTTGGAAGAAGCATTCTTTTTATCTTGTCATGCCTTATAAATGAAGTAACATTTGTTAAATGTTCTTTTAGTATGATGGCAGCGAGAAGAAAGCACTTAGAAACTGAAATATCTAATATGATGTATTCGTCAATGTACACTGGAGATGCAAAAAAA